AGATACCTCGCATATCTATCCAAGAGCAACTCGCTGTGTTGCCCGGTCTTTCGTAAAGAATACCCTCAATCTCCCCCTCCAGTTGTGAGATGTGCCTGAGGGCCATCTCTTTACACAGCAGCTGCGACATGCATATTTAGTGGATTATAATAATCCATACATCACCAATCTGGGGAACCACCCCATCCAATAGTTTTCCTGCTTCAGCTTTACAGATCCGTATGTTTTAGTTTCTATTTGCCTGCCCCCCCTGATATCTTTCTCACACTGGCTAATCAAGTTGAGAACAGGACCATTCAGCGCCGAGTGTCATTTGAGGCTAGGAATTCATTTTTTGTCCGGGGCCAGACCATAGCCCGCTTCGACATTGGATTTGTGCATGAGAGGATCCGCGGCGAGAAGCACCTCTTCGCACCTGTGTGTGATAGAGGAGTGCAACAAGGAGGATCCCATGGTCATGCTTTCTCTTGTGAGGGCAAGACCCCACGCCAAATGATCGTTGGTCTGCCAGCTATTGGCAGCAAGGCGTTATATGTTGTGGATATTGATCCTAGGCGGGCAATATACTGTTGGTGGGAGATTGGCCTCATGTAAAATAGGACAGGAGTGGGATAGGAATGGGACATGCGGTATTATAGGTCAGAAGTGAAGCTGTAGATAGTAAAAATGGATTCTATTACTCCTAACTATCTTTACTATGTGCCTATTTGTTGTAACCGGCCCCCTTTGGCACGGGACGTAAGATACTATGTCAGCGGCACTGCATAGAGGACTAGGCTGGGCGTTAGGATTCCTGGCTGTAGGTAAAGCCGGGCGTCAGGCTTCATGACTGCATAGAAGCCGGGCGTTTGGATCATCGCCAGCCTCAGCATAGTCGGGCGATTTACCCCGCTCTGCACTGGTGCCAGGCTTCACCTCAGCATAGTCGGGCGATTTACCCCGCTCTGCACTGGTGCCAGGCTTCATAAATCAAGCTCTGGGCCTGACTGGCATTGAGAGCCGGTCTACAAATAGTACGTAGGCCCCGTAGATATGTTAAATTAATTCAATTCTATTCTATGGTCTATATACTGCAGTGTTCTGAGTGCACCACCTGCATCCTATTTAAAGTGATAGTTCCAACGTATCCTAGAGCGTTGGTAATCCTGCAACACTATTGATATGAAGTTGAGCCGTGATGATATTATCCAAAAAGCGTTGCCAAAAAGTGGTGATTTCTGTGCTAGCGGCACTTCCATTCTTGGGTCATACCTTCAACTTCACTTCCAACCCAAACTCAACCTTCCATACCATACCCCAGGCATCAAAATGAGGGCAAAGGTTTGTTTTTATTGTATTTGACAGCTTCTACAACCTCAAGTGAGGTCGTATAACCAGTATAGAACGGTAAGTCTTTACATTTTCTTCTTCTGGGCAAATATACCCAAGCTCCTCACAAGCTCACCAAAACAGCCATATTTATGGCCGCTGTCATCAAGCTTGACTCAAGCTCATCATCAGCATCTCTCTAAACTCCTCGCTGCCTCCTCGCTGCCTCCTCAGCCACCTAGCAGATGAGTCTCTCCTCCTCCATTTCTCATCAAGCTCCCCCGAAATTGAGAACTTGGCTAACTTGAACCGCAGGAACCTATGCCTCTGCCAAGAACCATTTTATCTTCATGCAAAAGCTCCCTGTTGTTACCACAGATGCAAAAACTCTCCCGTTCATTTCCTCAGTGGCCAAACGAAGCCCAAGACGCACCCAAATACACAAACTTCCCCGGACAGCGGCAGCCCCGATGAATGGATCCCAGCCTGGATACCAGCATCACCAAACATCCCTAGGCAGTGGCAGCCCCGACAAATGGATCCCAGCCTGGATACCGGCATCACCAAACCTTCCCACACCGACAGCGGCCATAACGAATGGATCCCGGCTGTGGGCACACAGTTCCAAGTGCCACTAGTGACAGCGAGCCCTTCTGGCTCCCCTCTAGCCGTGGTTGGTGTCGTCCTCTCCTCGCCCAACACTTGGCCTCCCACTACTCTTACAATTCGCGTAGAAGAGCTCCCTCGGTAGGTCACACCCACAGGACACCACCACGACAATCCTAGCCCTGGATATCTGGGCTATTCTCCTCGGATCCCAATTGGATTTAGGGGTCTCCCCGAAGCAGAAAAATGCGCACCCTCGCTGGCGTTGTCTGCTGCAGTAGTTGGTGACTCCCTCAGTTTTTGCATTTGTATGGGGTTTTGGGGGTCCAAAGGGGGGGCCTTTGGATTTTCGAAAAAACGGCTCTGGCACTTCTGAGGGCTGTTTTTGGCCCTGATTTTCGACTTTTGCTATGGTCGCGTTGTGGAGCTGTTTTAGGGCAGCTATCATAGCTCAGTCATAGCTGGCCCGTTACAATTGATGCTATCGCCGGTATGTTTTCCCTGTTTTGCGCAATTCTATTTGTTTACTTTTTAGTTCTTCATTGTTCTGGCTTTGTCCCTAGTCATGGCCATTAACGGCCGATCAAACACACAGGTAAGTTGAAGCTGTAGGGCCAAGTATTGTTTCAAATTTTCTATTTCAAATTGTGCTACCTTCTGTGCTGTGTGCAGTCTCTTTTGTTGATGCTCTCTTCTCTTTCTCCCTGTCTTCTGTTCGATGCGAATCAAACAGCTTTTGATCAAGTTTGCTATGGCAAGCTTGATCGCACTCGTTCAGGTAAGCCTGCTTTTCATTGACTCTTCTTTTTTTTTTCCTTCCGTCAATCAATCAATATCGCTCATCAGAGCTGGCTTTTTGCAGCTCTGTACGGTTTGTCCCTTCCCCCTTCCGCCCCTCCCTCCTACCCCCCTCTTATTTACCACTGCTGACTATCTGGCGCTATGATTACCCACAGGATTCTTATGTTCTTGTTGCTAGGCGAACCCTGAGCTTCCCGACGCTCTTACACAATTTTACACACCGAATATCTCGAACAAAACTTGGAATCCTTGAGGCACAAAGGCTGGCGAGCCACACCGAAGGATACACCGGATGATAAGACTTAGCGAAGGTCTTGAAAGAGCTTGGATTACAAACACAAGGAAACCTGGGGTAATTCGGGGGGGGGGGGTTTAGAGGAGTGGCCGGGAGCTCTGGCGGTTGTCTGTTGTCGCCGGTCAAACGGGGCATCATGACATGGATAGGTGAGGGCAGAAGGGGGGGTGAGGGGTAGATATCTGTATGTAGTAATAAGAAGAGTCTTACCTTGATTACCTGTCTTTGCCTCGTGAGCCGTCCACTCGGCATGACTGTTTACTCTGGACCTTCTGCGCACCGTCATGAGCCAGTTATGGCTGGCCGAACAGTCCAAGGGCTAAATTACAGTGGTGGCCTGGTCTCATCAACACTCACCGGCCATGCATCAGAACAGTCAATTTCAACGTTTACGGATAGCCTCAATTTACAATCTACAGACACAAACCCGTCTTTTTCAACCCTCCATTCCGACCGTAGGAACGGTCTTTTTACCAATTGGTCTTACTTCGGCCGCGCCAGGACCGCTCCTGGCTCCATCCACATTACGGGTGGTCCGAGCGCCTTTCGGGGTCTCCGGACCGTGCTGGGACCACTCCAAATTTATGTTGCGCGCCGGTAAGGTAAAGCTCTTATCGGAGCCCTAGGCGAAGAGCGATCCGAATTCCAGTACTGATTCAAAAACTTTCGAGGGAGGACATAGGGCCGAGCATCGTGGAAGAAAGCGTAATACAAGTTCAAGAATTTAGATGAGTTTTCTAGCTCTGATATCGGCCCTGCTGTGGTTTCATTGGCAGTACCAACAGGAGAAGAGATCGATCGGACTCGTTCTCAAATCGAAGCTGCTGCTCGTGGAATCAATGCGTTGTCGGGTTTGTATCACTCGTGGATCTAGACTGCGTCTCCTCCTCTCCATCGGCATCTCTCCATTCGATAAGATCTGGCGTTGCTCCAAGATAGCCAGTTTGCCGCGCCCTCGCCTCGACTCGGCGTAGATGAGGTTTTGTCACTTCCGATACACTGTGTGAACGCCGGAGAAATTGCATCACATTTAGTATGGCGGCTACGGCATGGAATGCATGCCAGAGAAGTCTGAGCCAGAAAAGTCGTAATCCAGCCCTAATTGAAATAAGGCTACCCTTGTTAGCAACTACGCCGTATTGATCCATGCCCTCTGGATGGAACCAGGCGGTTAAATACGGGGTATTCATGCTACAGCTCTTGATCTACACCGTTCATACGTTGGAGTTGCGGGCTAGTCTTCTCAATTGAACAGCTATTGTGGCCTATATATATATATATAACCGGAAATTTACAATGGATATGCCTGATAGTGGTGAAGGGGGCAGAAGGGGGATATATACGGGATAAGGGATAGAGGTCAGCATCGTTAGTACTAAATTAATATTCGCATCCCACAGTGTGGATAGACCTCGGGGGGTGGGTGCAAGACCGACTGGATTCACAATTCCTCAAAATCCAGACTTGTGCACTTGAAAATTCTCTAGAATTTGAAGGTTTGATAGCGGGGCTTTATATATAATACACATGGGTTCCACTATTGAATATTTGAGTTCTAGACGCCACCGAAAATATGACACCTCCAATCATCTCCCGCTGGTGCCTAGGCCGCCTTGGCCGAGGGTCCAAATGAAGATAAGGGACACACTATTTCAGACCACAGGTTACTGGGACCTATCATACACGTGCTATTTCTGAGTTCAATGTTTTTATACCCTTTACTTTATCCCGCCACTCATTCATCGGGCTCGGGTCATAGTGTCTGGCGTACCTTCTGTTTGGTCACAGTGAGCCAGAGCTGGTCCTGGTCGACGCGCGCGAGATCGTCGGAACTCTGGAAAACGGAGGAGGTCTTGAGGCCCTGGCGCGCGGCATGGAGTTTTCTTGCTGAGATCGAGCGCGGGAGGGAGGGTTTCGGGGCCGCATGACTATGAGAATCTCTCTCGCACAGTATATCATTTATAGAGCAATATAAATCAAGGAAAGCTGCATCATTTTCTATTCCACTTGCGAAATCGCTTCTGTTTACATCAGACTTCTTTATATGGACTCCCACGGCCATCCTTATGCATAATAACCAATCCATTAGCGGTGGGTTCAAATACCGCCATCTCCATCGTCTTTTTGTAAAACTTTATGCGAGGTTCACCCTTCGTAAACAGCATTGCGCGGCGGAGATCGGGCCACGAATCTAGGGTTTCGTTGATACATTCCATCAGCCATCGGCCTAGGCCACTCGCCTGATGTTCGGGGATGATGAAGACGTCCGTGAGGTAGGCAAAGCTGGATTCGTCCGTCACGAGACGGCCGAGGCCAATCTGGGTAAGGGAACCACGGCCTAGAGGCGGTCAGAATGAGAACCGAGTTGTGAGGTATAATAAGTTGGAAGAGTAATATTATTCTACTTACCCGCGATATCGGAGGAGGATTCGGGTAGCATATAGACGCCGAAACAAAGAGACTTGGACAGCATCTTCTTCATTCTGTCTTCGGGCATGCCATTGGTCCAGTACATGTAGTCCGCATTGAACGCCTTAGTTATAACATCGATCTGGAGCAAATCCTGGGATGTGGAGATTAGGAATTGGTCCTTGTACCATTCTGTCTTGCTTGCCGACATTCTAGATTGAAAAAACAAGTGAAAATTTGTTCGTATGTAATTGACAGCTGGTATTTATTGCCCTCTGTAAATATTGTCGATATTGTTCACTAGCGATATATATTCCTCGCTGACTCACAGCTAGGCTGCGCACTGGGTACTCACGAGTCGACAGTGTTCGGCAGATACTACCCAGGTAGTATCTGGGTCCTCGCCAGGTAAGGTAAGTATCTGAGCGACTTTGCTCAGGTAAGGTAGGTATTTACAGATACTTTAGCAGGTAGTTGAGCCTCAATTCCGTATACAAAAATGACGCTTTTGATATTTGAAATAGATAATGATATGTAACTTAAGTTATAGTATAATGAACTTCAGTTTCATCATAAATTATGTAATTAAGCGTTACTGTATACCGTTACTGTCACGACTGAAATACTAAAGACAGGTTGTGAAATCATCAATTGACTATTTATACAAGAACACACTAATTTATCTAATGCTGCGAGAATTGGCGAACCAGGACACAAGCTGCATATCCTTGTTCTGGATGGTGATATGCTTGGCGTGGATGGCGCACATGTTGGCCCCTTCGCACTATTAGTATAGTTTTTGTAGGTGTTCATAGAGACAGCTTACCTTCGAAGTATGACACAAGGTGGGCCTCAGCGGCCTCTTGGAGGGCACAGATGGCAGTAGACTGGAAGCGGAGGTCTGACATGAAGCTTTGCGCGACTTCACGAACAAGACGCTGGAATGGGAGTTTGGGGAGGATGAGGGCGGCCGACTTCTGGTAGTGTCGGATCTCGGCGACGATCCGTTCTTTCATATAAGTTAGTAGTGTGAACAATATTCTATTAGAAAAGAATAGCATACTGTTGACAGAAGCCTTGCTCAAAGGAGGGACAGGGCGAGGGGCTTGTTGTGGGAAGTTGGAGCCAGGGTGATCCCGCTCCCAGTTCCTTTTCTGGGCATTGTAGCTCCAGATCTTTTCTTGGCGGGCTCGGCGCGCAGTCTTGTGAATATCGACTGTTTGTTGAGTTAGTAACCTTGTATTGCTTGTAGGGTAGGGTGGAATACTTACCGTGGCGCTCAGGCTTTTGCTTGGTGCGAGCCATGGTACAGATGTGAGCGAGAGCGATATCTAAAACATGTTAATTTGCCATATTGTAGCAATTTGGCGTTACTGCTGGGCGTTACTGTAGTTGTAACGCCCAAAGAACAAAAGGGGTGAACTTACAAAGGTTGGTGACAGAAGGAAAAATTGCTAGAACTTGTATATTAGTAAAATAAACACAATACCGTTACTCTACAGCGTTACTGTAGGGTTAAATCAAATGTAAAGAAGATTGAACTTACCAATGTTGCTAGACGCGTTATCTCAGAATTGTTGTAGAAGTTAGGATCGAATTCGAAGTAAGGGCGCTTAAGTGTTGTTGCAAACAAAAAAAACTCCGTTTCTTGTTCCAAATCCGGACGTGTCAATAACAAAGAATAGTACGAGTAAGTTAGCAAAGAAACCACCCTTACATTTGATTACCTCTGATTATTAACTTCCTTTTAGATTTCCAAATTTATTGACTATACCGACCCCGACCAGTAAGTAGTTGCGCCCCTACTTTCAAAAGACGTCCGCCTTGTTAGCACATTGAAGTACTCTCACAACAGTATAATCAAAGCCAGTGCTAACAGTAACGCCCTATAGTAACGCTCATCAGCTCCAAATCGCCTCTAACGCAACTTTACCATGTCGTCTCCAGCCACTGTGAAGTCATATGAGGAGAGACGCGCGGAAGTCATTGCAGCTACTGCCCACACCATTGAGCTCGCTCAGAATGCGGACCGACAGGTATAACAATCCTACCATCCTGATATCAATTGTTCTAGAGCTGATAGCAAAGCTAGGCTATGAGCCGTGCACGCCGTACCCGCCAGGGTAAAGATGACTGGGAGGGCCTTACGGCCAATGAACAAGCTGCCGTGTTAGCTACAACGCAGCAGGATATCATGGACAGGCGCACCGCTCGTGGTATTGACACCAATTCCCGCCTCACAGCAGCTATTAATGATGAGAGTGCGGCTATTGCGGCCATTAATGCAGAGGAGCTGGAGGAGAAGTTGAAGGCCCTACCAAAGGGCAAAGGCAAAGCTGTAAGTAATAGCTAAAACATGACGATACTATCTAACATAATGGTTAGACTGGCAAGACATCGACTAGCGACAGCGGTGAAGAAAATACCTTAAAGGATATCTGGGCCAGCAACATGGTCCCAGTCATTGAGCGCTGGGAGCGCAATATTGCCCTTGCTGGCAACATCCTTATGCCCGAACTCTCAAGGAAGGAGATCGAAGAGTTTGCTGGGGGGGTTAGCAACCCTGATAATATCAAAGAGTTCGTGAAGCAGTGGGAGAATAACAGCAATGCTGATGTTGAAGATGGGCTGGTAGATTTTGATGATGATGGTGAAGAAGTGGAGGTGGTTATATCAGAGGATGAGGAGGACGATGATGAGGACGAGGATAGCCTCAACGGCTTCATTGTCGGGGTTCGTGTAGAGGAGGAGGAGGAGGTGGAGGAGGAGGAGGAGGAAGAAGAGGAGGAGGAGGAGAAGGAGGAGGAGGAGGAGGAGTAAATTCACGTCGTATACTGTACTATAGTATACTTAACCAATGGAATTTTTGTGGTTACTGAATTCCATTTTGAGATCTTCTGCCGTTACTATCTGCCGTTACTATCTAATAAAACTATTTGTCAGTACTCCGAATAGTGACTACTGTACTCATAGTAACGGCCAGCAGTAACGGAAGAGAGCCCAAAAGCAAAAAGTCAGCATGCTTCTACTCCTCGGCTGAGCCAAGGAACACAGTCCGACCAATTAACAGTCAAACGCCTATTTTGCAATTCCAATTCATATTACACTAGCTAGGATATACAGACTCTGCATCCAATAAAAATAAGGGCTACTACTCATCATCTCGGTTACACGTAGGCTACAGTAACGGCCACCAGTAACGGAAGAGAGCCCAAAAGCAAAAAGCCAGCATGCTTCTACTCCTCGGCTGAGCCAAGGAATACAGCCCGGCCAATTAACAATCAAATGTCGGTTATACAGTTTAACTTTATATTATGCTACATAGGAAATATAATCGATCTGTATCTACTTAGGGTTATACACACTGCTCATTATCTTGTTATATGCTGTAGCAACAGCTAATAGTACTAGATATAGCTTCGGACTTTGAAATAAGATAGGGCTAATGTAGCAAATTGTTAAGCCAATGAAACCAAATTGCTGATTTTGTAATTTAAAACTCGTAAGCGTTACTCTCTAGCGTTATGGTAAACCTAATTAGAGCTAGACAAAATTGTTTAACTCCATAATACTATGTTCAACTAACACAAAATAGGAATAGCAAAGAGTAACGGCAATGAGTAACGGCAATGCATAATGGCAATGCGTAACGGCAAAGAGTAACGGCAAAGAGTAACGACAAAGAGTTCAAATATTACCCTATTGCAATGTGGCATTCTTGTATTCTGTACTACCATTTGTTCTGTTGCAAAAGACTATGAAGAAATGGCCGTCCTTCCAAAAGGCCTCACTTAACATTCATCATTCGTCTGATTGACCTACACTCCTACTACAGTACATTTTCTCTATCCTCTTAACAACATGTCGAGCCCAAGCCCATTTACAATGATGAATCAGTCACAATTTGAGCATCCGCTTACCTCTGACACTGAGGATATCAACTCACCTTTCGAGCCAGCACTTATCTTCTCCCAAGATGATGTACTGAGTGGAATTGAAGCTCCTCTTGATGAACTTCTTGAAAAACTACCCAAGTCTCCTAATAATCGATATGTTATATGGAAGGAGGATACCGCTAACGAATGGCATCAATGGTGGACTGCGAAGATTTCAAACAACATCAATCGAGAGATATTCCGACATATGGTTTGGACAAGGTCGAAGAGGTCCTTAATATGGACTCAATTCTACCAAGGAGCTGAGGTCCGAACTGGCAATCCTAAGGTACTATGTCAGTTGTGTTGGAGGGCTTTTGCACACCCTAAGCTTCGACAAGGTGGGAGTAGCACATCTACTTTAACCCGACACACCAAATCTGGCGCTTGTAGTAGAAAGGATGGATCGCAAACTCATTTACACTTAGTAAGTTATCTATCCAGTGGTCTAGAGTAACGTTCTAGAGTAACGCTAATGACCTTCTTTAGCTGCCGCGTGCGCATTTGGAAAGGAATACCATACAGCCTTTCACACATACAGCATGGCGAGAGCAGTTGATTATAGCCATAATTTCATCAAGCCTCCCTTTTCGAATAGTGGAGAACAAGGAGGTGCGAAAGGTTCTAAACATGTTGAAACCCGACCTGGAAATTCCACACCGGACAGTTATACGCAAAGAATTAACAATGCAATTTAACAACGTCATGGAGAAGCTACTATTGGATTTACCGCCTATGGCAAAGGTTTCAATTGCCCTTGATGGATGGCAAAGTCCGTTCAAATTAGCGTTCTTAGCAATTACTGTGTATTATATCACTGATGATTGGCAATGGAGAGAGGTGAGCAGATTATAACTTATATAATAATATATTAACTTACTAACATACATCTTATAGTGTCTTATTGGTTTCGAGCCAATGACTGGAGTCCATTCAGGACAAAATATGGCAGCTGTTGTACACAATGTACTGGAACAATTCAATATTACGGGACGACTTTTTTGCATGACAACTGATAATGCATCAAACAATGGAACAATGCGCAAGGAACTTGAGAGCTACATGAGAAGTACTACACAAGAAGTAGAGTGGAGTAGTGATGCAACAAAAATACCATGCATGGCGCATGTTATACAGCTAGTTGTAAAAGCTATGCTAAAGGCCTTCAATGTCGACATGGCTGAAGAAGTTATAGATGTTACTGGTGTTTCAATTACTGATGATACGACAGTCACATCAGCTATTAGAAAGGTTAGTCCATGATAGTAACGCTTGATAGTAACGCTAACTGACGTCAAATACACAGATACGCACTCTTAGCAATCTTGTGAGCA